AAGCCCCATCGGAACGGACGCCCCATTTGGCGGGACCTCAGCACAGCAGCAGCGCTGCCCGCCTGAAAGTTCATGAAAATCCACCTTCCTGGCCCCTCATCGCTGGGTCCCTGTTCACAGCCCCACCCAGGCTGATGGGAAGTGTTCCCTTTCTGCTCCATCTGTGTCCCAACCCGGGCATCACAAACCCTGACATTCCATTCCCGCTGCTGGAGCACATAGTGTGGCTTTTGTGTGCCTCGCTGCCCTTGACTGATAGAATCTCAAGGTAGGAACCAGTGAGCGCGGGGGGGATGTCAAAGGCCTTCAAGATAACATCACAGTCAGCTAGGGATGCAGGATGCTCCCCTGGCGGGATAGGGGGTGAGCTCAGCAAGCTCCACACCTAACACAGCAGCACCGATAGACTCTGCTCTTCTCCCTCCTCCGGAAGCACAAGTAGGATGTGGGAGTCGGGGGGGTCTGATGGTTTGGTGGTCTGATGGTCTGAGGAAGCCATCCTCCGTTGCCATGGTTCCCCGCCCCCAGCCACCAGCGAAGAGCAATAAGTAAAAGCTATGAAATTCCAAAGAAAACCAAGCTGACTTTCTCCATCAAGGATTGTGTCTATATAGGAAAATCCACAAGTACATACAGATGCACATGTAGAGGCTTGAGAACAGAGTCAGCAAGGTTTCTAGAGACAAAATCAAATTACAAAACTCAAACGCATCCGTATAGCACAGTGACCAATGAAAAACAGGATGGTATAAAAGATGTCATGGTCACATCAAAACTTACGGTGTTCCTGGAACATTCAGAGATGCACATCACAAATATCTACTATGCACTTCCTCAGTGGAGGAAATGGTACATCTGTTTGGGAGGACTTTACAGGTGGAAATAGATAGGCCTGGTCGGATGGCTCTGTTGGTGGAAGCATCCTCCCTACAGCACATTGGTTGCAGGTTCAATTCCAGGTCAGGGCACATACCTCGTTTCCATACCAGCTCAGAGAAAGTATTGGAGGCAACCGATTTATGTTCCCCCACCTCTCTCTCTCTCTCTCTACCTCTCTCTCTCTCTCTCTCTCTCTCTCTCTCTCTCTCTCTCTCCAAGCCACACGGTACAGACAGAAATGCAGAAGAGGAAATTTCCCCATAAGCTGTACCAGGTAAGATGGGCCTCAGGAACAGAGAAGGGGCCAGGCTGACTCACCTCAGAGCATAAAGCCCATCCTAAAGCAACCCACACGAAAGAACTGGGGAAGGAAGCAACTATTTTCACATTCAAGAGGGGCCACAGAATTCATGCCAGAGAGAGAACTCTGTATGTGTATATGCATGTGTGTGTACGTGTGTGTGTGTGTGTGTGTGTGTGCACGCGATTTACAAATAAACTAATGAGAAACTTTTGTGGAGGTGAGACTCACATGACATAAAATTTCTAATGCTAGTTTCGGGTGTGTGACCTTCAGAGCTGCTTATCACTACACTTCCCCCATCACTTTCGGTACCGCGGGCCTACTATGCGCCTTCCCCATACCTTCCTTGTCCCTGTGGGAATCTGATGTGGGGTTTTGAATATTAATGCCCTAATGCACCAAGAAAACCCCCACAGGCCTGAGGAGATCTTTCATGGTTCTGTAGGATTGCTGATGTTGCGTCTCTTTTCATGACTTTGTTGGCCATTTGTCCATCATCTTTGGAGAAATGTCTAGTCAAGGTTTAGCTCATTCTTCAGTTGTGTTATTTGGGTTTCTTATGTTGTCTTGTGTGAGTTTGTAATACATGCTGGATATTAACTCCTTACCAGATACATCTTCTCTCCCATCCTGGAGTCTGGAGTCTGGTGAGAGTGTCCTCTTGTGCTCAGGTTTTGAAGTTGGTACAGTCCCACTTGTCTATGTTTGCTTCCCTTGTCTGTGCTTTCAATGTAAATATGCAGGAAATCATTGCAAAACCCAATGTGCTGGGTTTTCCCCCTATGTTTACCTCTGAGAGTTTATAATGGTTGGTATTATATTTAGGTCTTTAATACATTTTTGCATAGAGGAAAACGATTCTGTGATGGAAACCCAGAACTGCATGAGAGGAACAACTATAAGGGGTAGTTTTCAAAATAGTCATTGTTTTCCTGCAGTGTGTTCTCACAGTGGGGTCTAAAGACGCTGAACTCACAGAAAGAGAGTAGACGGTGATGCAGGTGCTGGGGGTGGGGAAATGGGGAGATGTTGGTCTAGGGTAACTTTCAGCTACAAGATGAACAATTCCTGGGGATGCACTGGACAGCATGGCAAGTACAATTAACAGGATTGTATTGAATACCTGAATGTTGTTATGGTTATACATCATCAGTGTTATAATCATAACAATGGTAATTACATGAGAGGATGGAAGTGTTGATGAACCTTATTGCGATAATAACTTCACTATGTAGGTGCATCAAATATGCACAATGCACACCTTAAACTTGCATGCATTCTATATCAAAAATATCTCAATTAATCTGGAAATAAAATAATTATTTACATCCAAGTAATTATTAATGTTCTCTAAAGTTTATCAAATTTATAGCTGTAAGCTATATGACAATAACAATACAAAATGGTGAGAGTATAGGTGGATGTGTCTTAAATGTTGAAATTTTTTATTGTTATAGAATAGATACAGTCCAGCCAGTGTGGCTGAGGGGTTAAGCATCAATCTATGAACCAAGAGGTCAGGGTTCGACCCCCGGTCAGGGCACCTGCCTGGGTGACGTGCTTCGTCCCCAGTAGGGGACGTGGAGGAAACAGGCCATCAATGACTCTCTCATTATTGATATTTCTATCGCTCTGTCTCCCTCCAAATTCCTCTCAGAAATCAATACAAATATTTTAGAAAATAAGAAGAGATATAAATACCAATTGAAGAAATTACAAGGAATAAACAAAATCTGTTACTTGAAACTGGTTCAACACCAGCAACAACAACAAGAGGAGATCCAGATGGAATTGGACTCAAGAAACTCCCACCGACACTAAATAGTAAGATCAATTGTCATGTGATATCACAGAAACGTTCTCATTTATGATTAAATGCTGGGATGTGTTATGACAATAATTCTGAGGTTGGCGTCTATGCACAGGGAGAGGAGAGCAGCTCGTAACTCTACTGTGTATCAGCACCTACAGATGGGAGACCAGAAGCTCAGGTGGTGACCAGGTAACTCCCGGGCAAGGGGAGGATAAGGTGCCAACTTCAGTCCGTCTCTGGGCCTGAGAATAGAGAGAGAGGAGCAGGGGGTGGGGGATGAGTGGGCAGAACCAACGGAGAGAAAGAAAGAGGGGGGAAGGGAACAAGTCAAATGGGAGAAGCACAGGCAGAAACACGGGGCCGTCAGTGGGTGTGGATTATTGTTTATTTCTGTATCCTAGGATGTTTTGAGCCATTAAACAGATTGGAAGCCAAGGAGACACAGGGCCTCCCTAGGACCACCCATTCTCAGAGACAGCAAAGAATTTCAGATGCAAACCAACCAACCTGAGCCCGTATTCCCAGCCTCCCCACCTGCCCCAAATCACCCAGGACCTGTACCAGACACAAAGAGACCACGCCCACAGGCCCATCCCCCAGACTGACACACACCAGCTGGTCCTGAACTGCTCACCCTGCCCTGCCTTGGT